TCACCGATCCAGCAGTGGCGGTTCTACCTACCGTCCTCCGATGAGATGGAGCGTGAGGAAGTGCTCATCTCCTCCAGTCTCGTCCCAACCTCGTCGGAACTCAGACCCCGAAATGGGGCGAGGTCTTTCGAGCTAGATAACAGAACTCCGACAGAACTCAGACCCCGAGATGGGGCGAGGTCTTTCGAAGATGGATCCTCGGCGAGGACGGAGGCTTTCGAGGTTATCCACGGCCGATTGGTGCTGAAAATCGATGGCCTGGCCCGACCCTCGTTCGCTGGCCGTCCGGCGACTGCAATCCGACCGGCCCTGAGGAAAAATCGCGCACAAAATCAAAATTGCAACGGATTCTCCTTCCTCCGTGATTTGCGCAACAACTTATGGGATCAAATCTCGAGGCAGGGGGAGATCATCATTAGAATATCCTGGGCGGATAATTCTGTTAATCTCCCACCCCAACTACAACAGTCCCTGAAGAAGGATACCTCTGCCTCCTGCCCCTATTTAATTAGTGGCCACCGAACAGAACCCCCACTGCTTGATACGCAAGGTGAAGTTCTAGCTTGGAATAGAGACGAGGCTATCCAAAAGCTCGGGACCTGTTCTGGTAAGTGGGAAATTTCCGCCGGAGGTCTTTGTGTTGACCCCTGGCTGGAGAGCTCTGTTCCAGCCTCCATTAATAGCTACCCTTCCTGCTTCCCATTGCCGATTCCTTGCCTGTATCCCTACTCACTATCCACGAGTAACCCTGTTGGTTTGAATCTGTTGCAGCCCAGCACCATGGCTCATTTGACCAGTGATCAGGTAGTTGAGTTCTCATTGGAGGAAGCCCACGCGGTAAGGGTATGCAGAACAAGAATCCTTCTTGGCCGCCTCTTTGCTGAGAATGGAATGTCAATCCCTGAACTGAGGGATGCTGTTAACCGCCCTTGGCAAGGAGAAGGACGGATCAGCGTGAAGCAATTAGAATGTGGTCTGTTCGAATTTGTTTTACCCTCGGAAGCGGCGAAGACATGGGTGTTGCAACGAACTCCATGGATCATCAACGACAAAATTCTGAATGTTCGAGCTTGGACTCCCAATGCCTTACCACGATCTTTTGAGGAACTCGCTGTGGCCCCCTTTCGTGTCCAAATGTGGGATGTGCCGGAGGATTGCTGCACCCAACATTTTGGAAGAAAGATTGCAACTCCCACATTGGGCCGAGTCCTGGAGGCGGGAGTCTTCTCATGTTCGGAAACAAACTGCAAATTTGTCAAAGTCAAAGTCCTCATTGATTTCTCTAAACCATTGAGATCTCAAATCATGGCTACCAATGACGAAACGGGGGGGTTCTGGATTCGTTTCAAGTATGAGCACCTCTCGAGCTTCTACTATAATTGTGGACGAGTAGGCCACTTCCGGCAGGGCTGTGCTTTCGACCCTCCTTCCAGGAAGGAGAAATTTGGCCCACACATGACCACAAAGAAGACGGGGAGGAAAATATTTGATGGTGCAATTGCGGATCAGCAGTATCGCCGCCACCCCCACTCGGTATGGATCAACAAAAACGTTCGCAATGACCAGGTGCTCCCTGCTCCTTCGAGCCATGGCCCTAAAACAAGGGAGAAAAGGCAACAAACTAAAGTGAAAACCCCGGGCGTGTCGGCAAGCCCACTCTGGATGGGAACTTCGGCAGACCCGTTCCTGACGACTGAGTCGGCGAACCAACCTGGGAGGAGCCCGCGCAGATTCCCAATGGCGAAGGCGCCGAAGATCAATCTAGGCCGCCACAGTCGCCGCGGCAAGCCGAGGAAAGAGGAAGGTGTGAGGCCGATGGAGATTGATGGTGATCAGCTGGAGGAATCACATCCGGCGAAAAACAAAAATCCCCGCAAAACTGGCAGCAGGGACACTGAGAGGAAACAGCCGCCGAGGCAGCGGGAATCGTGCCATAGGAAGGGTCCGGCGGCTTCTAATCCAGTGGCGGCCAGCAGTCACGATGAGCTGAAATTAGCTCGCCATCGACGACTCATTCTTGCGGCCGAATCGGAGGACGAGTTCAGTGTTCAATGTATCGATAGCTCGATTCAAATTCAAAAGAAAGGCGAGGGAAGGAAGCCGGCTGAAGGTCCCAGAGAAGTGGAGGAGGAAGGGCGGGGAGGCCACCCTGCTGTACAGATAAGTCAGGGGAAAAATTTGAGTTCGCATGGTGGCGGCACTCTCCTCTCAAGGGCGGATGGGCCTGTTCTGGATGAAGGGGCGGCCCATAAAGTGAGTAAGCCGGCCCAGAGTGGCAGGGGGGGAAGTTGAGGAAGGCGGGGCCCAAGTTGGGGGATTCTCCACAGCAGGCCAGAGGCCCAGCGCGAGATGGAAAGGGACGGCTGGAGCAGTCACCCCACGTGGGTATGCATGGCCCAGCAATCCAAAATTTAACATTTGGCCCGATGAAGGAAGTGGTGAGGGCTCTAGTGTCTGATGATTCCGATACTGAGGAGGAGCTCCAATGCTTTGAAATCAAAAAACGGATCCCCTCCTCTAAGCTGAATGAAACCGGTGCTACGACAAAGGGACGTGTGTGCCAAGTAGTAGCCGCTTTTGAAGCAGGGCTTTCCATCAACTCTGATGTGCTCCTTAAATCAAAGACCCAGATTGGGAAGGTGGTGATTGGGCAGGATGACAAGGAGGGAATCCATCTAGAGAAGTCGGAGCTAAATGAATATGGATCGAACTTAGCAAACCAGAAATTGGGTCGCGTAAACGCCCGCTTGAGGAGATGGAGGGAGATTTGGGGGATACCCCCACACCGAAAAAACAATTTGTGGAAATTGCGGATAATCTGGTTCAGGTGGAGGAAGCCAGCCTCAATTGGCCCCAGTCGGATAAATGAGGATGATCGCCTGGAACGTGAGAGGGATTGGGCCGTCCCTCACGTTCCAAACTGTTGTTGGTCTTGTCCGCTCCAATAATCCTGATCTTGTGTTTTTTTCGGAAACTCGTTCGAGTCGGCGTGTTGTCTCCCGTCGTATGCGGGGCTTAGGCTTTGTTCTTTCTAATTGTTTTTTCGTTGATGCGATTGATGCATCTGGAGGGTTAGTAGTTGCTTGGTCTGCCGGAGTTGATGCTTCAGTGTTTTTTCATTCCAGCTTTTGTATCTGTTCCCAAATTAATGAAGTGGACTTTTCTTATATTGTTGTTTCTGTCTATTTGAGCTGTCAATCTGAGACTCGAATCTCCCAAGTGGCTCAGCTCCAGGAAATTTGCTCTGCCTTCCACCTCCCCTTCGTGGTGATTGGTGACTTTAATGCCATTCTCCATGAAAACGAAAAGGATGGAGGCAACCCTTGGAACGCTTCGCGATCAAGCAGCCTGCGTGATCTTGTGCACGAGCTGGGTCTCCATGACCCCGGGTTCATGGGGGATCAATTCACCTGGACTAACAGGAGAATGGGGGCTGCCTGTATTCGTGAACGTTTGGATAGGGCCCTTTGCTCCCAAACCTGGATGGAACGTTTTCCCGAGACTTTGGTTAAGCATTTTACGGATCAAGGCTCTGACCATCGTGCTCTTCTGCTCTCTGACCGGCCCTACGCTAGAAACTGCCGCCCTCTCTTTCGATTTGATGCCCGTTGGGCGGAGAATCCGGAGGTTAGGGCTATGGTTAATTATGTCTGGAGAGAAGAAATCCAGGGTACGCCTATGTTTCGCCTATGGGAACGCCTTAAAAAGGTGCGTCATCTATTGTATGATTGGAGCAGAGCGGGGACTACAAACTCGTTAAGAAATATCAAAACGCTCCAAAGTGAAATTGAGCGAATCAAGGCTTCCTGACACGCTAAAACACAACACCTAACAATGGCCAAGTGTAACCAATGAAAGGGACTGCAGTATAGGCAAGTTTAATTATCAACCCGGGGTCTAGATCTACTGCTTACTCCGTGATTCTCTATTATCTAGCAAACTAAGTCGAGTGATTGTTGTGAAAAGTAAAAGCAACAAGAAAGTAGTAAATTGTTCGGTTTTCTAAAGCAGGTAAGAGTCACTCGGGATTGAGTCCCCCTAGCCCCTTGGTTAGGTTCAATTGCAATTCCCTGGGTTGATTTACTGTTGATTAGACTGCGGAAGATCCGACAGTAGCTTGGAATCTCTTAAGCTGACCAAGCCCTCTCAGTCTATCTACCCAGCAGACGACTAGTCTTCACCGGGATAGAAAGCTGAGGCTATGAACACAGAACTCCACTACTGGCGTTAAGAACACCAGTACAAAGCAGTAAACTGGATAACTCTCGTATAGCCAATCTCCTACTATCGAATGAAGAAGCTCTAACAACCTAATCAGATTCTATCTATCTCAGGTTGAAGCAGAAATTGAGACAAGCTGATCAGACTCAAATCAATTCATGAAACATGCATCATTCGATTAAAATCAAACAATAATATCATCCCAAGTCATTACAATCAAATCCCTAACACAAGGAACTAGGGTTCTTCATACCCAAATGAGAGAAAGGTTCTACTCCATAGAGAGAGAAGAGAAAACAGAAATCAGAGTAGTCATACTCATAAAGATGAGGAAAATCTGCTCTGGGATGTCAATCTTCACTCCTAGGGACGCAATCTGGGCTTCAATGATGAGGAATCCACTCCAAAATAGCTCCTAGGGTTTGTTCTTCGCTCTTTCTCTCTCTAAAACTCTGTTTTTGCCCAGAAAATCGAATTCCCTCTCCTTGGCTCGAATCTGCCTTCAAAAACCCGACTCTGGGCGAATTACGGGCAGAATTACGGCCGTAATCACTTTCTGCCCGTAATTCACACCAAAACGCGCGTTTTACTTAAGCTGCAGGGGGAGAAGTTACGCCCGTAATTTCCCAATTACCGCCAGTAATTTGGGAATTACGGCCGTAATTCTTGGGGTCTTGCCCGTAATTTTATCACCGCGAGGGAATTCTGGGTAGAAGGCTCAGCCAATAAATTACGGGCATGCCCTGGCCAATTACGGCCGTAATTTGTCAGGGGCTGCCCGTAATTCTGTCTCCGCTCCTGTTCAAAGCTTCGTTTCTCCCTCGTCCGGACTCCAAATCAGTCGCCGTTTGAACCCAGACGCTCGTAGTCTCGTCCTCTTTCTTTTCATGACAAGCTTGCATGATTATTTGTCCATAAAGTGAGGTAGAAATCCATTCTTATTCAGGTCATACCCGAGTTTCTTCTCCCGAATCGTCAATTGATCTCTGATTGACTTGAAACTTGCGCCTATGCTTCACTTTATGTGCTAGAACCTGAAATATGACAAAGGAACACAACCTAGCGTAAAATGGTCCAAGGAACAATCAATTCGAGCCAAAATGGGCAGGAAACCAGAGTGAAAACACGTGCAAATACGATGCTATCAAATTCCCCCACACTTAACTATTTGCTTGTCCCCAAGCAAACCAAGTACTACACAAGGTAAGCTCACATATTTCAATCAACCAATATTGGGGACAAGTCATAAAGGCACAGAACACGTGAATCAAACTGGTTTTCAAACATCAACACATGAACAACTTTAATAGCAACCTGAACAACCACCACAAAGGACATTCGAGTGCAGCAAAATCGAGCAACGGAAGAGTTTCCCTTCTGTTCACCAACCAACCCAGACTTGGCTCGACCACTCACTCAAAACAGTCAACTCATGCATCCAACTCAAGACATCAGAACAGAGACCGAGCAATCTAGGTCCTCACCGGGGTACAAGAGTATAGAGAATATGAAAATGAATCACTCACTCTCGACCAGTGGGGTCAGGACAATTTAATGCGAAAAATGCGCATGCTATTTCTCTCAATCCCTATCATCTCTTCACCATGATGGCAGCCTCTAAATGCTAGAGTTCACATATGGGGTGTCACCACTAACTAATCAGGAGGTCTTAGACACAGGTTCAAATGACTGGCTAGGGTCTTGGACATGGGGAAAAGGCTTTTAGGTGGTGGAAGTATTCATAGCAAAAGGTTCCACATTTTCCAAACACACAATCACAGTCAAACAAACCGGTATTTTCTTTCTGCTAATCTGCGTTACTCAACATCTTAAGAGTACAAGAGCGAAGGAGGCATAAACATCAGCATTTCCAAGCCAGACTGCTAAGAAACACTATTTACTGGGCATTACTCAGATTTTTGGTAGTGGCTCTCTTTTTGCTTTCAATTTTTCTTTGTTTGCCTTTCATTTTTCTTTTCATTTCTTAAGAGAGCCACCACTTCTGCATAAATTTCAAACACCTGCCCAACTTTTAAGCACTACCTCCAACACTCACATAGACTTAAGCAGAAACAGCAGAGAATATGTAAAAACCACTCTGTGGAACCTTCTAAAAGATGCAACAAGGGTGATTTTTTTTCATTATAGACCAAAAGAAAGGATAACACACGGCTCAAAGGGGCTGACTAGGGGATATGACACATCAGGACAGTCAGTTTTTGGTCGTGGGCTAATCCTATGCCCCCATCATCTTAGCTAGTGACAACGTGAATGCTACACATCATGGAAGAGGGATCTATCGCACAAGAAAGAAACGAGCGGCCCAAATCTCACATGGCTACCTATATGCTCTATCTCACATTCTGATACCCTGAACTAGATGCATAAACGACTGTCAAGAACAAGTAATCAGATCAAGTCAGATCAAGTCACAGTTGGCAAGCAAACAGTCGAAAAACTGAACCCCTACATCGTTCTACTGCACATCTCAGTTCTCATCATAGGTTGTCCTAGTCGCAAACAAGTTGTCATGCATTAATCCGAAAACCAATCAATTCATCCATCAAAACACAGTGCCAATATGATCAAACAGCAGTACTCGGAGCCCTCAAATCGTAAGATTCGGACAGCGGACTAGGCTCCAAGCACCATCATAAATATTCCAACCGATACAAAGCATCCCCCCACACTTAAGCACGACATTGCCCTCAATGGAGTAGAGGGAAAGAGAAGGGGAACGATGTTACCGGATTAAAACACTGCTGGGGGACTGGAAGTGGACCAGTCAGCGGGGCTAGCATCAGCAAAACACACTGGGTGATAGAAACCATAGTTCCAAGTGGATAAACCGACAAAAACAAACAAAAGAAAAACAAACCTTGGTGGGGTTGCCTCCCCACAAGCGCTTCTTTACCGTCTTTTAGCTGGACGCCAGTATGGATGCTCAGGGAAGTGTAGGATCAGGTGCCTTCAAGAGCGGATCCACATCGCTCTTGAGGTACAGCTTCAAATGGTGGCCATGCACGCGACGAATGTGGCCACCTGCATTTTCCAGCTCGACCTGGCCATCCGGCAAGATGCAAGCGAGTGAATACTCGGATGGCCAAGGTGGAGGCGGGACCAGCTCATAGTGGTCTCCGGCTTTCTTGCGAGCAGGCTTAGTTGCCTGCATTTTCGGCCGCCACTCCTCCTTGATCTGTTCTTTTGATGACGGAGTGGTCCGGAGTGGCGGCGAAGGTGTGGGAGGCGGGTCCTGCAAAATAGGCAGCACAGAAGGATACACGACAGACTCGTGCACCTGGTGAGATACAGCATGCAGAGGTAACGAAGCAGGTATAGTGTTAGCAACTGAAAACGTTATTCGCTCCTCGCCATCCCTCAAAACTAAGGTCCCATCATGCACATCTATGAGAGCCTTGGCGGTGGCCAGGAAAGGCCTTCCCAGTATAAGAGGCACTTCTGTGTCCTCACTGATGTCCAGGATAACAAAATCCACAGGATATGTGAATTTGCCAACCTTGACCAGAAGGTCTTCCACTATACCCCTAGGACGCACTACAGATCTGTCAGCTAATTGGAGGGTCATCCTAGTAGCACGGGGTTCACCTAGGCCTAGTTTCATGAACAATTTATATGGAATAACATTGATACTAGCACCTAAATCCGCCAAGGACTTCTCTACATGCAATTTATCAATAGAGCACGGGATAGTGAAACTACCTGGGTCCTTTTTCTTCTGCGGAAGCTTGTTCTGCAGAATAGCCGAGCACTCCTCGCTGAGCTCCACAGTGGCCAGCTCACTCAGCTTCTGCTTCTTTGAGAGAAGCTCTTTCAGAAACTTCGCATACTTTGGCATTTGCGATAGTGCCTCCGGGAAGGGCACTTGGACATTCAGCTTCTTAAGCATGGCCATGAAGTTTTCGAACTCTGTCTCCAGCCTGTCTTTGTGCAACCGAGTAGGGAAAGGGAGTTTAGGGACATACTCCTTCACTACTGGTTGCGGTTTAGGTGCAGGCACCTCAACCTCCTTCCCAACTTCTTGTTCAACCGCTGGAGATGCTGCAACAGGGCTTTCTCTCTCCGGTTCCCGAGCAGGGGGGTCAACAGTCAGCTTGCCACTCCTGGTCATGATGGCATTGCAGCGCTCATCCGGGGTCTGCGGATGAGGGATGGTCTGCGCTGGTAGAGTACCAGGCGCCCTTTGAGCCACTGCTTGGGCCACGCTCCCCAGCTGGGTCTGGATATCCTGCAAAACAGCCTGGGTGTTCCTCTGACCAGCTTCAAGAGCCAGGAGTTTACCCGAGGCCTTCTCCATGAACTGCTCAAAGGTGTTGAATTTCTGAGCACTAGCACTGGCGAGAGAACCCACCAAGTCCCGCAGTTCAGCCATCTGATCATTCTGCACTGGGGCAGCAGGAGCTGCACCTGGCTGCTGGAAAGGCCGCGGCTGTGATTGAGCAGCATGCCCCTGCATGGGCTGATAGAGAGACTGTTGTTGCTGCTGGAATTGCCCCTGTCTGGGCTGATATGGTGGCCGCTGGAAGCCTGGTGGTCCCTGGGGAGCTGGTGGTCTAGGATTTGGCCCAGCCCAGGAGAAGTTAGGATGCTGGCGCCACCCCTCATTGTACGTGTTGCTGTAGGGGTCATTGCGCCTGACGTTATTAATGAAGTTCACCTGCTCCTGGGGTGTGGTAGATTCCTTCATCGCCTGGCAGTCTTCCACCGTGTGATGGGTGCTTTCGCACCACTGGCAGTGCATCGCCTGCGGCTGTCCTGTACCTGCAATCAAACCAGAACGATCGATAGCTGAAACCAGCTTCGATACCACCTGCACCAAATCAGATGACTGGGCGCCCACAGCATGCACACCCCGTCCAGGTGCTCGTCTCGATCTCCTGGCAGTGCCCCAGTCATAACTGTTCTCCGCCATCTCCTCAAAGAGTTGATTAAGCTGTGGCGGGGTTTTGGTCAGCATGTTCCCGCCACAAACCGAATCGATCAGCTGCTTGTCCTCCGGGAAGAGAGCGTGATAGAAGGTGCCCACCTTGAATGCATCATTAAAACCATGATTGGGACACCTGAGAAAGAGACTGGTGTACCTCTCCCAAGCATCCCTGATGGTCTCATCCTCATCCTGAGCAAAATGTGTAATTTGCTTCTGCAGGTCAGCTGTCTTGGATGGAGGATGGTAGCGGGTGAGGAACTTGTCCGCCAGGTTGGTGAACGTGGTGATGGAGCCCGGAGGTCGAGTGTCTAGCCACTCCTTGGCCTGCCCCTCCAAAGTGAATGGGAAGTACCTTAGCTGGATGGCATCTGCTGGTACCCCATTGATCTTGATTCCATCGATGAGCTCGTGGAATCGCCTGAGATGTGATCGAGGGCACTCTCCCTCCTTACCACGGAACACTACTGAACCGCGCAGCATGGTGATCACGGAGGTGCTCACCTCAAAGTTGTTGGCTGGGACCTGAGGGTGTTGAATAGGTGACCTCATGTCCGCAGCCCTAGCGGTCCAGTAGGATCCCATGGTCTACTCCCCGGGGATCACATTGTTGTTCTGCGGATCGCCCATCTCGCCTTCTTCTTCTTCTTCTCCTAACTGCAGCTGTGTTAGTGCTTCCTCCGCAGCCAGTCGCGCCTTTAGAGCCCGCTTGAAGTTCCTACAAGTTCGTTCAAGCTCCTGGTCTAATGGTAGTAGATCTCCCGACTGGCTACGGGTCATGCACTACCTGCACACAATCAGCAGAAGCAACCCGTGAAGGCACACAGGTGGAAGAGATAAAATGCAGTAAATAAAAGCTAGAGTAACAAATTCTCACGTTTCCCCAATAATCTAGAGGGTTCCCCGGCAACGGCGCCAAAAACTTGACACGCTAAAACACAACACCTAACAATGGCCAAGTGTAACCAATGAAAGGGACTGCAGTATAGGCAAGTTTAATTATCAACCCGGGGTCTAGATCTACTGCTTACTCCGTGATTCTCTATTATCTAGCAAACTAAGTCGAGTGATTGTTGTGAAAAGTAAAAGCAACAAGAAAGCAGTAAATTGTTCGGTTTTCTAAAGCAGGTAAGAGTCACTCGGGATTGAGTCCCCCTAATCCCTTGGTTAGGTTCAATTGCAATTCCCTGGGTTGATTTACTGTTGATTAGACTGCGGAAGATCCGACAGTAGCTTGGAATCTCTTAAGCTGACCAAGCCCTCTCAGTCTATCTACCCGGCAGACGACTAGTCTTCACCGGGATAGAAAGCTGAGGCTATGAACACAGAACTCCACTACTGGCGTTAAGAACACCAGTACAAAGCAGTAAACTGGCTAACTCTCGTATAGTCAATCTCCTACTATCGAATGAAGAAGCTCTAACAACCTAATCAGATTCTATCTATCTCAGGTTGAAGCAGAAATTGAGACAAGCTGATCAGACTCAAATCAATTCATGAAACATGCATCATTCGATTAAAATCAAACAATAATATCATCCCAAGTCATTACAATCAAATCCCTAACACAAGGAACTAGGGTTCTTCATACCCAAGTGAGAGAAAGGTTCTACTCCATAGAGAGAGAAGAGAAAACAGAAATCAGAGTAGTCATACTCATAAAGATGAGGAAAATCTGCTCTGGGATGTCAATCTTCACTCCTAGGGACGCAATCTGGGCTTCAATGATGAGAAATCCACTCCAAAATAGCTCCTAGGGTTTGTTCTTCGCTCTTTCTCTCTCTAAAACTCTGTTTTTGCCCAGAAAATCGAATTCCCTCTCCTTGGATCGAATCTGCATTCAAAAACCCGACTCTGGGCGAATTACGGGCAGAATTACGGCCGTAATCACTTTCTGCCCGTAATTCACACCAAAACGCGCGTTTTACTTAAGCTGCAGGGGGAGAAGTTACGCCCGTAATTTCCCAATTACCGCCAGTAATTTGGGAATTACGGCCGTAATTCTTGGGGTCTTGCCCGTAATTTTATCACCGCGAGGGAATTCTGGGTAGAAGGCTCGGCCAATAAATTACGGGCATGCCCTGGCCAATTACGGCCGTAATTTGTCAGGGGCTGCCCGTAATTCTGTCTCCGCTCCTGTTCAAAGCTTCGTTTCTCCCTCGTCCGGACTCCAAATCAGTCGCCGTTTGAACCCAGACGCTCGTAGTCTCGTCCTCTTTCTTTTCATGACAAGCTTGCATGATTATTTGTCCATAAAGTGAGGTAGAAATCCATTCTTCTTCAGGTCATACCCGAGTTTCTTCTCCCGAATCGTCAATTGATCTCTGATTGACTTGAAACTTGCGCCTATGCTTCACTTTATATGCTAGGACCTGAAATATGACAAAGGAACACAACCTAGCGTAAAATAGGCCAAGGAACAATCAATTCGAGCCAAAATGGGCAGGAAACCAGAGTGAAAACACGTGCAAATACGATGCTATCACTTCCGTACCAATTGACTGGGATTCCGTTCGGGAATTAGAATTGGAACTGAATCGGCAGTGGGAAGCAGAGGAAATCTATTGGCAACAAAAGTCTAGGGTCCACTGGCTCAAAAAGGGTGACAAAAACACATCGTACTTCCACACAGTAACTAAAACCCGCCGAAAAAGGAACTTTGTAGCCGGGCTCCAAAATGATAATGGGGATTGGGTCACGGATGAGAAGGAGAAAGCAGATGTTGCGACGAATTTTTATCGCCACCTCTTCACTTCTGAAAATCAGGTCCCTAATATGAGAGATCGTGTCTTTTCTCTGCCCATTGACCAAAAAGTTACTCCTGCTATGAATGAATCCTTAACTGCGGTGGTTCTACCTGAGGAAGTGCGTAGAACAGTTTTTGCTATGGGATCGAAACAGGCGCCGGGATCGGATGGGTTTACGGGCAAATTCTTCAAATCCTTCTGAGATATTGTTGGGCCGTCAGTGATTGAAGCTGTCTGTTCGTTCTTCTCGACGGGGAAGATGCTCCGTAGTTTTAACCATACCTGGCTCACTCTCATCCCAAAAGTAGATAATGTTGAATCAATGAGGCAATTGCATCCTATCAGCCTGTGCCAGTTTGTGTACAAAATTATAACCAAAATTCTGGCAGAGCGGCTGGCCTGTATTTTACCTACGATTGTCTCGGATGGTCAAAATGCTTTTATTCGGGAGAGACAGATTGTCGAAAATATCCTCCTCGGACATGAACTTATGCATTACCTGAAAATCAAAAAACGGGGGAAGAAAGGGTACATGGCTCTAAAGGTTGACATGAAAAAGGCCTATGATAGAGTCGAATGGACTTTTCTCCTTACGGTTTTGGAAAAGATGGGTTTTAATTCTGTCTGGAGGAGCTGGATTCATGAATGTCTTCGGTCTACTTCCTTTTCGGTGATGATGAATGGTACCCCGTCTGGCTACTTCACTCCCTCCAGGGGACTGCGGCAGGGACACCCCCTATCACCCCTTTTATTTGTGCTCTGCACAGAGGGGTTTGCGGCTCTCCTGAAGAAGGCTATCTCAGATAAAAAACTGGCGGGGATTAAGGTGGCTCCCAGAGCCCCGAGGATCTCGCACTTATTCTTTGCGGATGACTCATATTTATTCTTACGTGGGACGCTCCAAGAATGTGAGAATCTAATCGAAGTTTTGAATGAATATGAGGAATTGAGTGGCCAAAGAGTGAACCTGGAAAAGTCAGCGGTATGCTTCAGTCGAAATATTTTGATACCGGATCAAGAGTTCCTAGCAGCAGTTATGGGGGTAGGGGCAGTCGGGGTCCATGATAAGTATCTGGGACTCCCCTCCCTTATAGCCAGATCGAAAATGGAAACTTTCCGGTACTTAGAAGAAAAGCTCCTAGAACGCCTGCAGGGGTGGAAAAGGCGAACGCTGTCTTGGGCGGCTAAAGAGACCTTGATAAAATCGGTGGCCATGGCTTTGCCCCTTCATGTGATGTCCTGCTTCAAGCTGCCTCTGACCCTGTGCCGCCTTTTGGACAGGCATGTTGCCCGATTCTGGTGGGGAGATGATGAGAATCATTCGAAAATCCGGTGGGTTTCTTGGCGGGACATGTGCCGTAGTAAACATGATGGGGGAATGGGCTTCCGACGGTTTGAACACTTTAACCAAGCCCTCTTGGCTAAAATTGGCTGGCAAATCCTCCAGGAGCCCCACTCTCTGCTTGCCCAAGTTTACAAAGGGAAATACTTCCCGCAAGGGCATTTCCTTAATGCGAAGGCTCGCTCTCGTCCCTCGTGGGGTTGGCAGAGTATTCTTCATGGGAGAGAACTCTTAGCGATGGGGCTTCGTTGGCAAATTGGGAATGGTCGTGCGGCTTCCATATTGTACTCTACTTGGCTTCCCCAGAATCAGTTTGAGCCTATTCGATGCAACCCACTAATCTTGCCGCTAGGAGGGGATCCCCCAGTTTCGGAGCTTATTTGTCAAGGGGAAGGTCGCTGGTGTGACTCTAAGCTTAACCAATGGTTTGACCCTGCTACCTGTCGTAATATCAAGGCTATTCCTCTACCGTGTGCGGATGTGGAGGATAGGCTAATCTGGCATGATACGGCAGATGGGGCTTTTTCGGTAAAATCAGAGTACCATCTGGCGGTCGCCTTGGATAGACGTAGGGGTCGTTGGAGGGCTAGGGTAGATTGGATGGATCGTAGCAGCTGGATCCGCCTTTGGGAGGCTAACATCCCGCCGAAATTAAAGGTTTTTCTCTGGCAGATTTTTCATCGAATCCTGCCTACAACAGAGGCCTTGCGCGAAAGAAAGTTTGGGGTTCATCCTCGCTGCCCGGTTTGTTGTGAGAAAGATGAGACTATGGAACACCTATTTTTGGAGTGCCAGTTAGACAGAGCTCTTTGGGGAGCTGCGGGCCTAGAGCATATCGGGGAAGGATTGCCGCGTCATTCTTTTCCCTTGTTTCTTAAGAAGGTCATGGCTCTCATCCAGTGCCCTGCTCTGTTCATGGCCATAGTGGCTGTCCTCTGGCGTATTTGGCGCTCCCGCAATTGGGTGGTCTTTGAAGGGAAGCAATATAAAGTGGATGCTTTGATGCGCCAGTTCACGCAGCAGTATGAGGAATGGGTGAGCCTCCCGGTTGATAAGTCACGGGCGGTCCCTGCTGCTGCGGAGGCCCAGCCGTCGGACCAGGAGGAGGTGCCGGAGGTTATCTGTGGTTGGGATGGGGCGGTTCGGAGGGGTTCGCATTCTGCAGGAGGGATGGTGCTGATGACTCCGACCCGAGATCTCATAATGGCCACTGGGTTCCAGTTTCCCGTCATTGAAGATCCTCTGGTGGTGGAATTACTGGTCTTACGGGGGGCGATCCGCTGGTGCATTGATCATGGGCTCTCTAGTGTGCAGTTCGAGGGTGATGCCAAGGTTGTCATTGAGAAGCTCCGGCGGATGGATGTTAGAGATGGCAGGATTGGAGCGATATTGAAGGAGGTGCTGCATTATTTGTCCTGCAATCAAGGGTTTTCTGTTCGGTTTGTAGGTCGGCGTGCCAATAGAGTAGCCCATTTAGTGGCTCGCAAGGCCCTCACTCTGTACCCGGCTATGTACCGTCGCTTTGATTTTCAGGCCTGGCTGCTCTCCAGGATGTAACTATCTTTTTGATCTATTATATGATTACCTTTTGTCAAAAAAAATAAAAATAAAATAACTCGTGCATTATATGCCTATATCCTTCCACCATGAAATGCTTGAACTGAAAATATATTATATTCCTTCTTTAATTGTTGGAAGGAAAGAAATCAGAAACATTAAAAAAGGAAAGAAATCAACTGCTTCTGTTTCTTAATGCTTTTGGGGTCACGGCTCATGGGGTGGGGATGGATAATTATAGTGGCCCCTGTAACTTTAATTCCGATTCCAATGGGCCAAGCCTACAATACCGACTTCAATTAAAAAGTTTTGCAAAAAAACAAAAAAAAAAAAGAGATATAGAAAGACGAAACAGCCCTCCCTACCTATGCAGAGGCCTGCAAATTGTGAATTAAGGAGGTGACGATGGCCTTGGAAGTAGGGATGGCAATTACCCATCCATGGGTAATTATACCCAAACCCAAGTAGATCCATTGATAATGGGTTGGGTATGGGTGAAGTGCATATGGGTTTGGGTAATGTATGAATATTGCTTCCATAATCTAAATGGGTATGGGTTGGATATGGATATCCATTTACTTGAGTGTGTTTTAAACTTGAAAAAGGACATATTTGTAAAAACTTGAAAAATTTAGGTACCAAAATGTAATTTTCCAACGATATTTTGAGGACTTATATGCGGAAAAAAATTAAATTTAGGTACTAAATATGCATATCTATTAAGTTTAGGTACCAAACTGTAATTTGTATTTGGGCATGGGTACAAACCCGAATCCATTTGTTATAAACCCAACCCAACCCAAAGTAAATGGATATGGGTACAAACCCATCAAACTCTACCCATATCCATCTATTTGGATTTCATACCCAACCCAATTGAGTTGGATAGTAAAAAGCCCATGGGTATGAGCAAAATTGTCATCCCTACTTGGAAGTGGTCGACGATTGTGAACCCCACTGCGATGGCCGGCTGGACGGGGGCCAGGATGTCATTGTGGCCTTTGTGGCCGATGACGAGGCTGGCTGTCAACGGGCCGATTCTGGTTGGTTGGTAGACACCGATGGTGCGATAGGTCTCCTTTTGGAAGTACTGCCATCTTTCCTCGATGTTGAACGTGAAGTCGGAGGCGAAGAAGATGCGTGAGAAGAGATCATGGAGTCATTCTCCAATTGCTTTGCGAATCGCGTTGAGGATGATGTTGCTGAAGACCATGAAGCAAGGTGGATAAGCGGAGCATGGAGTTGACGGAAGGGATGTAATCGGTGATGCTACTGGTACCGGTACAGATTCCCATACTTTAATTCCAAGTTGACGTCTGTTTTCCAGTGAGGAAAACTCTGGTGTTTGATATTAATGATTTGCATCTTGATTTCTTGAACAACAATTAATAATACGGTTCACACATCTCTTAACAATGTTAGAACGAGGGTGTTTGATGATTTTAATGGCTGATAAAACTAAGTTAAATTACTCCTTCTGCTATGGAGGTTCAGTGAGAGCTCCGAAAACTAAGGCTATGGCTAATTTACAGAGAAATGATAAAAGTTTGACATTGTGCGTTAAATGTTTGGTTGTAGAACCTGTTTGTAATCGTAGTTTCTCCTATTTATAGGCACTAGGTGTAACTGCCTTATTAACCGCCTTGGTAACTACCAGCTGACCTCTTGCTCCAAACTGCCTCAGAGTCT